TTGAGCGAAAAACTGCGGAGCAATTTTAAAATTGCAAAGGATTTTAAAGCGATTTGAGATGTATGGCAATAATTTCAGGTTCTCTGATTTTCGATTATTATTGCTTACTGTTTTACACAGTTTTACGAACTCCAGGTTTGGCGATGCACTGATTTTCTGTTTGGGATTTGAGTATGTTGCTATAGGTTGAAACAAATGTCGTTTTCGTTGTAAGGAACTCATGAATTCGCTCTCGTCTTAAACGTCTCGAAAATTCTACACTTAGCTTTAAATACAGTATGACTATCCGTTAGTGTGAAGCTGTTGGTGCATGAAATATTTGAACTGACGAAGCTGACAGTGATCGGATTTCCAGGCCACTACAGTGGCGCGACGTATCAGCGGGGCGTCTGCGGGACCAATGTCGTCACCACTGCCGGAGGGTTCGACAGGTGCCCTACAGATAGGTGACCGTGTGCAGGTCTCGGGCAGCCGCGTAGGTACCGTCCGTTTTGTTGGGCCCACCGATTTTGCAGTTGGTGAGTGGGTCGGCATTGAACTGGATGAACCCCTTGGTAAAAACGATGGTACTGTCATGGGACGCAGGTGCGTTTCACTGTAGAACATTTAGAACTTTAAATTAAAATCATCGTGTATGATGAATTCACTAATCTTAGTCTTGGAAAAGAAAGCAATATGGCAAACTAATCGGCCTACTTTTTATTCTTTTAAATCCACTAGATACTTTACTTGCAAACCTAATCACGGACTTTTCTCGGCAGCGTCCAAAATAACCCCATTTACTGGCAAAACTTCATCGCGGCCATTAAGAAAAGCGTAAGCATAATTCAGCCTCATGCAAATTTTTGATGTCTCCTCTACGTGCCGTCTCTGGTCACTTTCAGTGGAAGTCGCGAATCATTATTGTCGGTGGGTTCAAACTTCAGTTCTGTTTCACGACAGAGAAGCAAACCAGGCACACAGGTAAATCGTATCTCTTTGCTCTTTGGTACGTTGAAACGAATTTCGCTTATAAAGCTGTAATTTTTATTTAAACACCGAAAAGTCATGCTATGCTTCTTTACTGCAGACACGTAGAACACCAGGTCAAGGGTCTTTTGGGGGTCCCAGTGTCCACGCTTTGGAAGTAAGTGAAATAACCCCCTTCTATCCATCTTTTGCCGCTCTTAAGTTAACGGATTTTCAATCCTTAACACCATAACTATCCTCCCAATTTCAGCAGACTGGGGAAATAGCGTCAAGAAAGGTTCCGTCCCCAATGTAGAACTCGCACCCTTTTTGCGTGCTTCATAGTTTATAATATAATCCAGATTTATGAGTACCAGAATTAGATTTTTTTCACATTTAGAGTGTTGTTAAAGAAAAGGAGGCGCATATCGAACAACTAATGCAGGAGTTTGAAATGGAGAGGACAGAATTGGCCAAAGTTACTACAGAGCGAGAGATGGTTCGTTCATCTTCTTAGTTCAGTAAAGATTTTTTTCTTTAGATTTAATCATTCTGAATGGCCATATGTTTGTGCAAGTCATCGATCTTTATTTTCCTCCGTTCTTTAAAACTTTGGTGTATCTTTAAAAATAGGAATTGATCTCTTTTCGTCTTGTGAATCAATGGATAAGGAAAAACTTCTTGAAAGGCTCTCTCAGAGAGTTTTGCTGTTATACTGGCATGATATGGCTTAATTTATCGTCATTTGTGTCCTATGTGCTGATTTCTATTTTTCCATCAACCGCTTCTTGATTGCCCAAGTCCGAAAGCTCATTATGTATGACAATGAGATATTCGGTGACATTTAACTTCGAGGTTAGTGTTTTGTCCATTTTTCGTTTGCTAATTGTCATAGTTTCGTGCTCTTTTCAGTTTGAAATGGAAGCTACTGGACAGCGCAACTTGATTGGACAACTTCAAAGCCAAATCGAGGAACTTCAAACGGCCGCCATTCATCTTTCTGAGGAGAACTGCAAGCTCAAGGAGAGAGTTCACGAAGAAGTAAAGTAAGTATTGCCGTTAGCTTATCAATTGTCCTTTGATATACTTCTCCCTACTAGCTCCTTCTGCTCCACGGGCATTTATTCGCCTTTGAATGGTTTCCAATAGGAGTTGGTAGGAAAAGTTGCGTGAATTTTTCTCTTTTGGGGTCAGATAATTTAGTTTACCATTTTTATTAGTTTATCATGACGAGCTCCTTGTTTTTTGGTCATAGTTCATTATTGAACGTTACACCCTCCCCTCCTCAGAAAACATTTAGTTTATTTGTGTATTTTAGGAAGTCGGAAGAACTTCAGTTTCGTCTTGAGGAAGAGGCCATCGAAAAAACAACGCTGGAAAACCAGAAGTCGGATGTAGAAGAGCGCATATTTGAATTGGAGGAGGCCCTGGCGGCGGCCAAAGAGACCAACGAGCGCATGGAGTGTCAGTTAAATGAAAAGAATTGTCTGTCACCACCATCGGCTACGATTTCGACTAATAACTCCTCAGCTGATGATTCTAGACTTATAGCGGCTGAGGCGCGAATTGCCGAATTGATGGCAACTCTAGTGAAGCTGCAAGAAGAGCAACTCAGTGTAAGTCGTTTCTTGTTATTTTTCAAGTACGTATTTTAAGCTAAAGAGCCATTTACACGGATTTGCTCCAGTGCTTTGAGTCCACAAGTAACGAGTTTGTATTGTTGTTCCTTTGTTTTTACTATTTAACAGGCGGATATAAAAGAGCAGGCTTCTTCTAAGGATGCTGAAATAGCGCGACTGCAAGCACAACTATCAAATGTACAAGCCTCTCTCCTGAAAGCTGAGCAGGAACTTGCTGAGAAGGTGGAGTTTTGTTTCGATAACTCTTCGATAAAGTTTTTTACCGAACGACATGCTTAACTATTAAAAGTATTTTCGAAGCTAAATTGGTTTTTGAATATTTAAACACGATTTCACTTTGCAAAACCATTGAAAATAGTGTCCACGACTCGTTTCATGTTTTCGTAAGATTCAATCCGGTGTTTTTGTTTCCGATTCGTGGTACCTTTGTTTACTTTCTTACCCTTTATTCGACATTTGTAAACATCTCGCTAAGCCCGGTTTTAATTTGGGAGGCATCCCATTGGGCTCTTATTGTTTGCTTTGCTGTCTCTGAATTTCGCTTAGGCCTCGACAAATGGCAGGACGAACGAAGGATTAAATGAAGCGAGAGCGGCTGAAGAAGAATTGACCTCTGCTCTGAATCAGCAAAAGGTCCTACTCTCCGCCGAAGACGAGCGATCAAGGAGTGAAGAGGTGAATGATCTTGTCAATCAGCTCTCCGAGGCTGAAGGGTACGTTTTTTGCTTCTTCTCAAGTCTAGAGCCTGATAATCTTATCGAAATTTCCAGGCGAATTGGCGGGACTTTCCTCTGATTTTTATTAATATTTGCGAGGCTAATGAGATACCGCGCTGTTTTAATGTAGATATAACTCTAAAGACGTATTTTAATGAATCACAGCGGTTGTCGTTTTCAATATTTACAATTTCTGGCATTTAATGGTACTGTTCCAACTATGATCAATTTTAAGAAATTTGTGGATTATATCGTTGTATTCCTTTAAAAATAGGCTTGGCTTAATGCAGCTGTGGCCTCAAAACGTGTTGCGGTTCGCACTGTGATCTGAGAAACTGATGGTGGCGGATTTAACCGTCAGTTTTGCGTATTTTTAGCTATTTAACGCGTTCTTACCCTTCTCATTCACTTACAGGCATCTTGTGATTGTGTATAAATTCAGAGGCTAAAGCAATGATTTGAATGAATTACCGTAGCTCTGCTTCTTGCCAGAACGGCGTAAAATCAGGAATAATTTCTATGGTTTTCAAAGAGATCTGACTCTTAACCGGCTAATAGTTCTCACCTCTGAGCTTACCAACATGTTGAGGCGACTTACATCTGTTCGACCTTTTTTTGTTTCAGTAAGCTAGCTACGATGACCAACAGGGTTGCGGAATTGGAGAAGCAGGTCGCTGAGTTTGAAGGGTCAAGAGCCGATCTCACCAAAGCGCAAGAGGTTAACACATCTTCCCTCTTGCAATCCCTCCATCCCGACACCCTTCTCAACGAACTACAGACACGTATCGCAAGAGAGAAGGAGGCTGCCTCTGAAGAGTCTGATAAGTGGGCTAAACGCCTTCTCGGGCTGGTGAGTGGCAAACACCTTAGCCCTTAATTATGATTTGGTACTTCACGTGAGTTGCCTCCAGACGCGTTGTCCAAAAAAAGGGAGTAGCATTAAGACTTGAGGTGTGATCGGTTTGATCATCATTTGGCACTGTATGCACTTAGAATAAACATTTGCATTAGAGGGCGCATTACTTGTAGTTCCTAATTTCTTCTTACATATTAGTACTTTGATTTTCTTTAAAGGTTCTATTCTCTTTGATAGTAAGGAATAGCGTCTAAGGTTTGGATTGTGGGTTGTGTAATGTTTCACTTCAGCTATAAATCCCATCCACACTTTCTGAGTTGTCCAACTTATTCAATACTTAAATGAAATCAATCTAGCATTTATCATTGTTTTAAAACTATTCAATCATCCACTTTAGGGCACAGCTTTATAGGAAAAAACTGTATTATTTACATGAAATCTTACATTTTGACAACCATGAAATGCTTCATGGCGCCTTCGTATTCCGTTTGAAAAATTTACAAATTGCAATGCTGAAATTCTCGGAGTCGAACCGACATTGATTTTATTGCACACAGGCTGAGGAATTTCGGAAGCTAAAGGGGCTGGAGCGGGAGCCTGATGAGGCGACAGCCGAAGCTCTCCAGCAGATGAGCATCAAACTCCTTGAAGCTGAGGCCGAACTTGCTCAAAAGGAAGTTAGTCTTCCGTCTCCCTTCTTCAAACTCACCTCCCGTTATTGGGAATGGTGTCAGCAGTAATAAGCGGGGTTTATTTCCTTAGTTTTTGCATTACAAAGGTAGCATTAAGGTTGGCACATTTGGAATATTGCTATTCGATAAAAACTTGCATTGTTGAGGAGAAGTTTATAAATAGGTAGACTTCCGAATGTTTACAAATACAGTCACTTAACCTTTCTTTTTACTGTTTCACACCAATTCTCATCGACCCCTTTACAGGCTCAATTGCGAGAAGCTCTGGCCACAAGTCCCCGCTAAAGAGAAATAAACGATATTCTTATTTAACATACCGTTTGCACAAGAGACGCTACTTTCTCTGTTTTTGGACAAACTAATGTGTTTTCTAGTGCTTTGTCCATGATGTCGGGTATTGAACTTTCCCTATGCTTTTTAAAGTTTGGATTCACTACCTTGTTGAGAATAATGTGAAACCTTTTTGCTTTTCATGTCTCTACCTTATGCTTTAACACCTCATCGTTTTGTAACAATTGGATCAAATAGTTGCTCCTTCTAGCAATTTTGATTAGGTATTTGTTGGTTCTCTACCTCTGTGTTTGTGATGGTCAATATCTATGCCTTGAGATAAGAGTAAAATTGCTTTGAGTTTGTTCAACACTATCGGGGCTAACATCGTCGTTTACATTGTGTGCTTCTTTTTTATTACACCTTTGCACGTCCTTCCACTGTCACGAGCTCGTTGGTGCGACTTTGTCGTTGTCATTGCCACCATCACCGCTTCCTCACGCTACCCGCACTCACATTCGATCTCATCCCCTTCACATCCATTCGCACTCGCTCATGTACCCTTCTCTGTCCAGTCTGCTTCGGTGGAGCAGGTGAAAACTCTGACGGAAGCCCAGCTGAATCACCAGGAGACGCAGGATACGTCGCC